GCTATGCTATTATATGGATTATGTAATAATAAATTCGACTGTATGGAGCTTACTAACAGGATTGCTTACATTGTACCAAGAAGAGTTACCATACGCGACGCACGCGTACCCCGATTGTTCTACACTGAAAAGTGTAGAACAAATGCTGGCCAGCGAGCACCGCTTCGTAGAGCGCTAGATGTATATAACTCTAAATTTATGAATTGTGATTTGTTTTCACTTTCCCAAAATCAATTTAAAAGAATTGTTACACTAATACTTAAAAAGTAATATGCAAATTAGACTAGGAACCGACTTACTCTTTTTATTTTATTTAACTTAATATTATTTTGCGGAAATTGGTGTGGGTTATACGTTTAGTTTAATAATTAGAAATTCCATTTTATGTATAATTGTTAATGTATAACTGTTTTATGTCCCAATAAATTAAAAAAAATAACTGAACAAATCATATTTTATATACAAAGGTTATAGAGAAAAAAACTACATACATAAATTAATTCTTTCAAATTTAACGACAGTAAGTTAATGAGCTTATTGTCCCTGTAATTAAATGTCATTTCTGTGATCTTTTAATTACTTTGGTTTTGATCTCAGCTTCCCCGTTTTCAAATTTTCTGTGCTTTTAATTGAATAAATCATTTATATACAAAATTAATAGAGGAACAAAACAACATAGTTAAGGTTAAAGTAGAGTATTAAGTCCTTATGGGTCTCTGTGTAATAAATTTGGGTCTCTCTGTGAAAATCTTTTATCTTGTATATAAGACTATTTAACGGAAGTTGACTTAGCGCTAGCAATAAAGCGAAAAGTGAATAAAAAATATAACCTATAATTCATAAATAGTTGACGTTAACTCACCAATCTTGCTTCTCAATGTCTTTAAATAATGTTGCCTTGACAATTTTCTTAAAAATGCTCGAATAGCATCGTATAAGTGGTTACAAAATATACGTTCAAATATAGGCATCCTGAGTGTATTTGAGATGTCTTATATAATTAGATATTAAAAAAATTACGTAAACGAAATATCTAAAATATCTAGGAAATATAAGACGAATACAAGAATTGATAACAATTAGTGAAATGCCTTTTAGAAGCTTTTTTTACTTTTGTTTTGGATTTTATTATTTTGTTTTCTTCGGTCCTCAATAATAAATAATACGAAAATTGTACAACTTATCATCTTTCTCAAAAGTTTATTGTTTAATATTTAATATATTCTATTTAATTTGGTAAATTAACTAGGAGCGCTTGAAATAGAAAATAAAATCGGTTGATAAGAAAGAACGGTAAACGTTGGACACAACCATCCACTAGATGGAGCAGTACGGTTTGTAAACGAACGCTTAGAGTTAAAGTTACGAACGAACATTAAAATTGGCTTTTTATTGTTTTAGCGATTATTAACATTCATAACAATAAAGCTGTACCTGTAAGCATACCAAGAACTTATTACGGTAGGTAAGTATTTCTTAACCACGGTGGGTTCACACCACACACACTCTCAGTACGACGGTACTTTGATGGAGGCTAATTTTCAGCGGCCACGAAATTATGACCGGATGAGATCGCATAATACAGTAGCAATGTGGTTAGCACTATATAAAATATTCGGTGTATATTTCAATAGATTGCTCAGTGCGAATCACAATTATTGTAAGTATATTTTATGTTGTATATTTTATTATATTTGCCGGTTATTAACTTCGTACAATTAATTCTTTACAGCAAAGAAACAAAATTTTATTAATCTCATTACGATTGAGTATAAAGTAACAAAAGATCCAATCCCAACCGTAACATTGTTTAACGTGAACATTTTCCGTATCGCCCAAAAGGTTAGCAGAGAATACGTCACTCGGTATTATCGCACTACCTTCAACTGCATATCTACATAGCTAAGCAAACGTTAGTAACTTATACAGCCCTTTCCTGACCTATACTTTATACAGCCCTTTCCAATATATTACCGATTTAGGACATCAACCACTTTCGTCTATGTGGTATTTTGATCATTTCGCTCTTCGCTGCTTGACCATCAATTTCCTGCTTAATCTTTTTTTCTTTATGTTAATTTAGAGAACTTAAAAGTGACAGTCTCCCCATTATGGCCAATCCTCGACGCCACATCCTTATTTATCGATGGAGTTGAAACGATAAAACGTGGCACATCGCAAACACGCGTACGACGAGAGGGGTGAGGTGGCCGCACCGCTGGCGGAATCTTGGCTCTGGACGACACGCGGACTAGGGCGCCCGCGCGTTTCACAACTCACGCGCGGCCCGCTCCCCGAATGTGCGTCGAGCGACGACCGGCGACGGCGGTATTAACATAAAACGCCGATAAACGGCCCACAATCGCGGCCGTACGAATGGTGACGCTTAAAAACGCGCGTGTTAATACACGTTAGCGTGTTGATCACAGACGAGACATCACAGTCACCCGATGCCGGTCTGAGATCGTAATCCGTACGCGTACCCGTGAAAGCGGCCGTTTGCGCAATAGACGGGGCGAATAGCAGTGTTCTCTTGTCGACTTTATCGGCGTCGTTATCGCTTGTGTACGAATGAGAAAAATCACCCGTAATGAATGGTTAACTGTGATCTCTCGATTGAGCCTTCATCCGTGATGTCATGTCGATTTGGTCTGCGCATGAAGTAAAATGCGAATCTTTACAAGACCCATGCGAGACAAGTACTAATTGCTAAAATACTCGAACTTTCAAAGTATCATTAACCTGAAAAAAAATATCATAAATAGATGATACTAAAAGATGATTGGAGATAATACTGTTAAAACATAATAAAGGTTGACAGAAAAACTTAACAAAAGGCGTCTTATAAAATACCTACTCTAGAAGTGGATATATGTGTATATATATTTATGAATATAGTTTTTATGATATTATGTATTAATTAGATTTGTTTAATCATTTTTAAGTTATTGAGCCCTTAATTTAGGATAACATTACTCTGTGTTGTAAGGCCGTTTTACAAACATAAATTTCACGTGCACAAACACAAAGATGCAAACAACTATCTGTAGGTCACACAAATAGTTGTACCGTGTGGGGATCGAACCCACGACTCCCGACGCCGAAGCCAATACCTTGGAAACATGGAGTCATCGGATATACGTCAAACTATTCTACGCATTCACGTAAATGTAACTGCAGACTGCACCATTGGCGTGGTGGATGGAGGAACCTTCTCTCTTGCGCCGGGGAGAGGTTTCGATCCCCATTACTAGAAAAATATTGTGTGAACACGACCTTTATCTAGAGTTTGGGTGTTTATATATCTATAATTTGTACTTATTTACAAAAAAGACAGTTTATGATTGCGTATCAATGCGACCCATAGTGGCTTTGCTTAGTTAATGTGCCCTTGAACATTTATTGGTTTTATCTTTTATTACCAACGAAGTAAACAGATTTTTGGTTTAAATAAACAATATTTTAGCACACAAAAATTTACATCAGCCGGAGGCAGATGTTTTAAATAACCAAACAACGATAATAAAATTATCAGAATAAAGCCATGAAGAATACACGTAGAAAAAATTTTAATCCCAATTTTTAACAGAGCGAATGATGCAATTTATTTTAAATATCAGGAGTTAAAGTTTAAAAGAAGATAATATCTATAAATTGCTTACATTAAAATGTATTCGCTTAAGTTGATGATTTCTTAATCATTGTGTTTATCAATTTTGGTCACGATGTATTATTAGCAAATGTTATTGAAATGTATTATTACAAAAACGCTACAATGTTTACACATAAAGAGAACAAACACACATTTCACAACTCTAGTCTAACAACATTAAATTCGTTGGCACAACATTCGAGATCACGCGACGCTAACGTGGCATATGATCTCCTTACGAGGTACAGTTATGGCAATAATTATTTACATAATTAGACATTTCTATGAAACACATAATTGGTTACTCAATGCTCGAAAACGTTTATGCCGTTTCATAAATCCGCGCCAACTCGCTTCCGGTGAGTTATTAAATTGGACTGTGCGGTAGTGATGTGCCTGATACGATCGATATAATTTTATTTTTATATTTTTATTATGCTTTATAATCTGTTCGAACAGATTATAAAGTTATCGTTGAACTTTTTTTATTTAAACAGCAGATTGAAATTTTTACAATTGTAATAACTAAATTTCATTACTTCTGTATACAATTTAGTATAATATTACAGATCGTACGAAAACATAAAAATAATTTGAAAACAAAAATTATAAGAGCGATAAAATAATGTAATATTGTAACATAAAAGCTACAAGCACTAAAATTTTATTATTATTACTTTAATGTTTAAAACACATTGAAATATTTTTGGTGAAATGATTAAGAACAATTTATGTATGATATTTGCATTTGTAACTACAATTTTATTAAACAGAAAAGCATGAACAAACTTAAAGTCAAATCAAATATCCTGTATTAGTACACTACTTACTAATTGAAAAGTGACAACAATGAAATGGTTGTCTAATTTGTTTCAATAATAATTAGACGGGCCGTGTTGAAGGCGGCGATCTGTTAGCCCTGAGGAATTTTATCGACATCTCAAACGACCATATGTCCGCGCCTATTTTAATTAAAAAAAAAGTATCTTCATTTGACCGGTACGGCCATTTGCATACTGGTCCGTACAATATCGAGTGCTGCATTTTACGTAAGCAGCGGACCAGTTAGTGTGGACAAGTTTATTGTTTTATCCCAATTTCGTTTCGTTCACTCGTACCGGTTTCCGAACGAAATCCGTTCATTCATTGCTAATGGCCCACAATGGTATTAGGTGAATGGTCCTCTCAAATGTGTAATATATGCAAAATATGTTTTCGACAAGTATTCCTAATATGCGCGTCTTTTGTTATTGTGTAACTTCTGAACCAGACGATTGCATGGGTTCACATTCACTAATACGTTTACCATCATCATCATTTCAGCCTGTTTGAATCCACTGCTGAGTCCATGCTAGTAGTACCTCGTGGTGTTCTGTGGAGGAAGCATAGGCCTCCTCCACAGAAGTACTATCCTGAGCCACCCGCATCCATCTATGTGTGCGGTGTGCGGGAAGTAAGTTGTCTTCTAGTGAGGGGTCGGCGTACATTACAATTACACAGAACCGTCATAAAGGATATGACGTTGACAAATTATCCCAGGATATGACGTTTTCAGGATCGTGTTGGTGGCAGAGGTAAAGGACGTGCGGTTCCGCGAACCTTGTTTATATTTTTCTTTTGAATTTTAATTGAAGTCATTTATTGGTAACTTTCTAGTTCTATCTAAATTACTTTTAATATATTACAAATGGTGTCAAATATGCAAAGGAATTGAAATAGCAATCGATATAATTATCTGTTTTTCTATTCGCTGTTATTCGATGTGAAAGTAACAATTTCTCCAAGCGGATATGTTTCAAGCCTCCGAACTGCCTACAAAGTTGTTTTGATGTAACCCAGTTATTTAATAGATTTTTAATTTATGTCCTTACCGCTAATGAACTATAAAAGATATGTTTAAATTATAAATTCAACTTTTTTGGGTACGCATCTTTATTAAGAAATTATTTTTATGTAAATGACTAAATATTGTCGTTCATTGATATACTTACATAATTTATGATGTACCAATAGTTTTCCTATTAAATTTTGTAGCAGTCAACATTTATTATACAAGCCCAATAAACATTCTCAATTATAATCTCTACCGTCATTGAACATTTCAAAGAGCAATAATCGTCTTAAACACGATGAGCGTCACTTTAAAATGTTGCCTCCACAGAAAAAAAAAACAAAGAATATTTTTTTTAAACGTGCGTCCAGAAGCCAGGCCGCATAGACAATGGCCACCATTATCCCACCATTGCTCATTACCGCGTTTTTGCGCCCGAATCCGAGCGAGTGTGCATTGTTCCCGCGCGTCTACCTGTGCCTATCGTGATCCGAGTACGGCCGGCGGCGCCGCTGATGTGGCACCACCGCAATCGGTATCGGCAGCCTACGATATATCACCGTGAAGAAAAAAAAATCTCTTCTCTATGCCCAGCGTTTGGTGGAGTTTTTGCCGATTGACAGCGAGATGGCATTCTGCGCTCGTTTTTTTTTATAATTAAATTTTACAAATTCGAAATACGAAAGTCATTACATTTGTTGTGATGCTTTTCGCTGCAGTATTTTTTTTATATTTTTGACAAGCGACAATTATAATAATATAAAATATTTTTTTTATATATTTATATACGTACATGCTTGGAGTCCTAGCAATTTGACGATGGTCGACCAAAGCTAATTAAGTTTACTAGACATCCTAACTACGATACTGACATTTCAAACATCGACACCTGCTAAGTTTTAAATGTATTTATAAATTAATTAAATAGTTAAGTAAATAGTGTACAGATTACTTCAAATTATAAACACTTGTTACCCTAAGCGTAAACTACTATTGCCTTGCCCATATTTGATGAAATATAACATTTCCAAGACGTAACAGTTGATACGTTTTTCGTTTTTTACGTTTAACACACTGAAACTGAAAACGACGCGAAATTAAATTAAACAGACAACTAAAATCCTCAATCCTATAGAACCACAACTGCCTAGAACAACAAAGATTAAAAAGTTGTTATGATTTTTTGTTGTCTATAAGACTTTAATTATGCTCCATATGACCCCGAAGTATGCATTTAATTTTTAAATGTCCTTTCTACATTCTCTCCAAACATCAGTTATTATCTCAATATTTTAATTACTCTTCACTTAGCTAAAAAGGCGCCTAAAGACTTTTAAAGTGAAATTACAAGCGATCCAATTATCTGTTTAATATATTTTTGCTGTGATAGTAACAAGTACCTGGAGGACCGGTTTTTTTTTTAGTAAATCGTGGAAGTAAATTTTGGAAATTAAACAAAAAAAAGCAATGATCTGAACATAGAAAAAAAGTATAAAAAATAAGTTTGTAAATGATCGTGACACGAACCGCTGCCTTCTGTTTCGGGGCCGCTCGATTCGGTCGGTAATTAAAACATTTTTTTTTTTTCGCCGAAATTTAGCGTCATATTCGAATGACATTATTCATTCCCTGAAAACAGGGATAAAAGAACATTTTCTAAAAATGAAACCTAGCTAGATCGATCCGTTATAGCTGTGTCCGGGCGCTCGCCTTTAATTCAATATACTCGAGCAACCTGAGTTCGATCCCCGGTGCCGGCACCAAGGAAGTTTTTAACTTTAAGTGCTGTCTTATCACGTGCTCCGCGGTGAAGGAAAACATCGTGAGGAAACCTGCATATTTTCGAAATAATAACAAAAAAAATTTCGAAGATATGTGAAGTCCGCCAATCGGCAGTGGGGCCGCGTGGTGGACTATGCCCTGATACCTTCTGTATAGAGGAGGCCTTTGCCCAGCAGTGGGACATGTATAGGCTGTTACTTTACTTTACTTTACTTCACTCTCAAAGTGCGGCATGTAAGTCGAATCACATAAAATTAATACCATTTTAAACATTTGAAAAATGACAACCCCGCCAAGGGAGATGTTCGCACCACCAACCGCACGCGTTGTCACACGAACACATCGACACGTGCCCGCGTCGCCGCGTCGACGCGTACGCACACAAGCGCGCGCGTGGCTACACACGTACGCGCGTTGAAATGATACGCGCGTATAAATCGGCTCGGGCGCGGTGGTTCAGTTTTTTGAGCGGATCGGGAATTACAACCGCGACACGGGCAGGTACTCGACAATGGCAACGGCGAGTGGAAACGGACGAGTCAGCGAGCCCCCGTCAACTCGGAATCGCCAGGGCCTCGTCGACCGTCATGATCTTTCTCTCGCCGACGGGAAGATCGAAATATGCAGTTTGTTCACAGATTATAATCATTCGCCTACGCAGTAATCCGTTCTTGTCAGCGATTTGCTTTGATTTACTTGCACACAGGCTGAACCCTTAATAGCGAATTTGTAAAGATGAGTTTTTATGAATTTTTACGTATAATATGTGTAAGATACCGATGTAAGGAAATAAAACAGATCAAAAGGATGTAACGTCTATGCTTAAAGAGGTCGGAGATCTACTTTTTTTTTGGTTTGATGAGCCACTGTTGGCCTTAGAGGCCTTTACAGTTTCGCTGGACTTGAGGTGACCGGGCACTCGGGGCGCCTAGCCTGAACCTCGGGAAGATCTACTTTGCCACCAGCCTCACTTCTTTGGTTGAAAGGTACTACAATTTGCGAGGCTAGAGTCTCACACACGTACCAGTACTTAAAGAAAAGTGAAGAAAACGGTAAAATATGTTTTATTAAATATTTCAATGTCATATTTTACGCAATAAATGTGTTCAATTATTTTTTTAACACTTATCACAGTTTTGAATAGGGAAATGTGTTTCGCTTAGAGACGCTTTAAGTAAAATTAATGTCTTTATTCTTTGCGAGCGAACTAGCCAGACTGTGGCGTTGAGACCGGTCGTTGACCTGTCGCCGTTAAATGTTTTGTCATTTCACATGTTTACTCAACATCCTTTATAGCATGGTCGAAAATAAGAGGAGCATAGAGAATTCGATAAGTTTATTCAAATCTGCATAATGTACCGATCACCTGAGCAGTCACACGATACCCGTCTCGACAAGCAATTAGTGGGTATTAAGGTCGATTCAATTATGTAAACGCGTCGATGTTACTTACTAAACAAAAATTGACATTTAAAGAGCGTAGCATCATTAAAATACTCGTTGCTCAAAACGAGTGTAATCAGACCAAGGATAGTGTTTTAACGACTTTGTTCCATGAATAATTCGTCCACTGATTGGAGTCGATCGGTTTTGATTCAAAGTGCAGAAGAAATCATTTGCTCTTCTTAAGCGTATAAGAAATCATTACATTCGATAATATCGTAATTTAGGAAGTTTTTTGTGGACACGCGCTTTTCTAGAAATTTTCTACTACGCACGACTACTTTGTGGAATTAACATCCAATATTAAAAATAATCGACCCCCGAAATGATACCAGAGATTAAAAAAAATAAAAAAACTGCCATCTTAGTCCATTAAAGAGTATTTATTTATATCGTCATTTACTTGTCAAATAGTTGTATGTTTCCAAACCACTCGTGAATCGCAATTTCTTTGGAAAACTTCCCCAATTTATATCACGAACCGTTCAGCGGCACAAAGCGCGTTCTAGAGTCACTGTCTTTTTTATATTAATGTTGTGGCAAAAGATAAAGTGGCTCAACGATAAATGAGAAGCGCTTCACATGGATTCTCACATCATAAGAGGAAGTAATTGAATGCAAACCCGTCTCACTCACCGAAATGCAAAAGTGTAAATACTTTTTCATCACGCCAATCTTTTTAGAGCCCCTCACACTCAAGCTGTTATCACCCTGCAGCAGGGATTGGATGTAAGCTGTCGTTATATATATTTTCATCCTTCTCCAACTATAGGGATTGTATCCACGACCCGCGTAGCCTGGAGCTGTCGCTTATAAACCACTGATCTTGTCGTCGCATCTTTATTTATTCATCGATAAGGTCAACGTGATGTAATCAACAAATGTTTGCTTATGATTGAGATTATATTGAAATCCTAAAACCTCTTTTACATTTTCGTAAACGCACAATTTTCACTACATCCATCTAAGTTTTCTATTTAATAGAACACATAATACAAAACTCTCTCACCGCGTGAAGTGGAAGTGTTATACTTCTGCTTTTCGTCTGGTGAGTAAGGTAGCAGGGGCCCACTTTATTAAAGGGTGGCAACCCATCTGTAACCCTACTGGTGTTGCAAATGTGCTAGAATCGTTAACATCGGTGAACCGCCAGATCGTTTGCCACCTTCTCACATAAAACACAAAGCGAACAAACAAGAAATAAAACGGGTTCACGGTATCTAGTTTTAATCAATGAGGTCACTCGTAGAGCTCTTTGTTTTATTCGATCGTAAGAATTTTGAAAAAGAATTAGAGGGTACTCAAAGTATCTTTTAACTTGTGCGGACCCGAATGGGGCACAGGTAGGAAACTTTAAGGAGATTGGACATACAAAAGCAATTAACTTTGCGTACCTGCGCGGGCGCATGTGGACCCCTCGGCATACCGCGGTAGTGTGCGCCCTTCGCCCGCACCATGAGCTCCACAAAATCCGTAAAGAAACGTCGTTGTATCCTCACGCGCGTACACTGCTCGCTTATCTCGATTGAATTTCCCCAGATCAGGCACTTGACCAACTTTGTACTGCAAAATAGGCGTCACTGTAGTTACACCGCTGCGTCAATCACCGGCGACATTTGCGCAAAAGTGAGGACGCCTCACGCCTGCGTACGCGAACACGAGAAGATAAATCGTTCCGCCATAATGGTGTTTCGGAATTTATGATGCTGCTCGATATCTAATGCGTTTTTTACATTGCGCGGATCACAATGGCGGCCACGCTAATTTGGGCGCAACTTAGCTCCTTATTGGCCCTCGGGTTATGGACGCGGTGACCGCCGAAACCGGTTCCCATAGTCGTAGATACCCTTTGTCTAAGTAATAAACGTTTCGCCTCCAATTCCTCGCAGTCATAAAAAAGCCTAAGCGTAAAGCGTAGTAGTGTGTAGCCCATATATGTGCAAGGAAAAAGCCTCTGTTCAGTGGGTTAGTCTGTTCAGGGCTTAGTCCACCACGCGACTGGCTCCGGGATTTGAACTAAGGTTACTCGAGTATAATGAATTAAAAGCGACGGTCCCGGACGCTGAGCTATCACTGCTATCAAACATACGTGATTACATTTGGAGCAGCTGTTAGTGGATTCAATACAGACCTGATGGTTATTGAAGGACCTTAACCCCGAATCAAGATACTTGTTATCAATAAGTGTCTGTGCGCTGCCTTTACGCTGCAGGTAAATAAAGTTTCCTTTAAAATTCATAACTTTAAATTTGCGAAAACAGATCAAGAAACATAGGTAATTGAGGATTAAACATATTGATACGATAAATGATGATTAGAAAACCATTGTTGCAGTGAAATTATTCGTGCTCTTGTGATAAAAAGAAAAGTCTATTCGGACAATCGACCGGACGCACGCTCGCGACTCGGGCACAATTGGGGGGGTGGCAAAAAGCGGCCTTCGGGTAGAATGGGCGGGAAAGTAAGATAATGAGGCTAAAGTCGACCGCCGCTACTGTTTGCGCCGCCGCTTCCATGTCGCAACAAAGCTAAGCGGATTTTAGTGACTTATACAAAAACATCCACCAAAAAGCTTTACCGAACTTTTAACTGTCAATGGTGACATTAAAAGTTACAAACTGCTGACGGAATCAACACGTAGCAATCAATCTTAAAGAGATCTAACTACATAAGAAGTAGTGATGCAAATATAGTTTAGATATCCAAACTCGTTTCACCTAATTGATAAAAGTACTTTAAATTATATTGGTTGTTTATCCGTGACGATCATGATTCTTTACAGCATCCTGAGGCTATCTAATAGTTTTTCTAAAAAACGTGTAATATCACGTGCATTATCTAGCAAGGCTTAAGATACATGTACCTAATGCGAAAAGTAATATAAGTAACTAATTTCAAAAACCTTTGCGTACTGCTATTATTCACTAATCGTTCACAATACAGCATAAATAAACCAAAATAAATCTATAGTTACGTCTGCCAGCCGATCAAATAACACGAAAGCTAAACTCTATCACAGGGCTGGCACGCCCCGGTGAAGGGTCCCTCGGGGATATCATTACTGCAGCATTAGCCGCAGAGAGCGCAACCCTCGATCCATATTCATCCGCGTGTCGCAAATAACAGGGCGCCAAGGCTGATTTACGATCCCGCCCCGCCGTTCTCAGAACGCTCAGGTAAGAAACAACGCTCGGCGCTCGTCGTTGCGTGCGCCCGGCCGTGAGTCATGAGCGATTTGCGCTGCAATCGCGATCCGCGCGCTAGACGCGAAAAAAACTCGAGCCGAACGAAACTACGTACGGTGCCCCGAAGGCCGCACTGGCCGGTGGCAATTAAAAATAATTAGGGAGCGGGATGGCGCGTTCTCGGAAGGATCCGGTGCATTTACATATGGCGGCCGCGATTTAGGGCAATAGTTTAAGAGTGGGACGCGCGGAGGGACTACGTCGGCGGCTCGCTTTGTTTTGCCCGCTCGCAGCTATGGAGCATTATGCCGTAACGGGACTCGACTTCAACAATAACCACTGCTTAGAATTTTTTACGAGTCTGTCATATGAGTAAGAGTTATATCATCCCAACAGTTCAAGCTTTGTTTGGCGTTTTCTCAGTATATTGGGTTTTAATTTTTCACTACTTCACTGAAGTCAAGATTAAAAACTGACGTAAACGAAATTTATTATTAGATATTTTATTTTTTTACGGAGAACAAGTATTGAATCGCATTCGCATACGCTCAGCCGTAGCAACTGGAACAGTGAAAGAACTTGTTAGTAATTACAAGTAATATAATTACAATAACAAATTGTAACTTAAAAAGGTTTGGTGCATAATAAATTCATATGTAATGATTATTCCGCTCTGAAATCTAAAAATATATTATAGGATAAATTATAATTTTTTTCTATAAAAGCGTTTCTAATATAGTAATACATAATAATTTTTTGATGCTCTTTAATACTAGTAGATGACTCACAAAAATAATGACGAGCCTTTTAAGTCGCAAATGTATGCAATCACGTATAAACCCAAATACCCGTGCAATAAACGGTTTACACCGAAATTAGATATCACCTTGAGTGGAACTTTTGTTTCTCATGCCTCGGTCGGGCTGTGCGCCCAAATAGTAGTTCAAAATGCTCATAAATGATCGCTTAATTGAACACAAATGGATGGTTACAGGACCCTTAGTGGTTAAAGCCAATATAAAGGAGGGAATGT